ATCTTGATAAAAGCGATTGTAAGATGGCTCCTAACAAGTATGTATTTTTGTCAGACTTAATCACTTAAAAATTTAAGAAAATATACTATTTAACATATAAGTACACATGAAATAACAAATATTTCAATCGAAAACATCTAAGTTTTTGCTTTTGTATTAAAATTTCAATAATGTTGCCGCCACAAAGTTTTCTCGGAAATGAAAATGTAGCTGTAAAACTACCAAATTGCCGGCAATAGATGGCAAGATATAAACTCTTATATACATTGCTCTTGAAGAGCAATGAGCGGTTTCCTTTGGCAATATATATTCTGACATATGTGGAGACGGCTTGTTAGTTATGTAGTAAAAGCTAAATTTTATGCCATGGAATTATAATCATATTGCTCATTTACTTCAATAGTGCCATTATCCAAAAAATACAAACATTTTGGTAGTATGCAACAATTACCGCTATCTCTTAAGACCATGTCAGATAAAACTTTGTGACTTTGCGTGACATTGATAACTTTGTCAGCAAAGCGCAAGACACGGAGGGTATGCAACAATTTTGCACTGCTTGTTTACTCGTGAAAATTTCTAACAAAAAAAAGTTTTCTCTTTTATAAGGGAAATCTTGCTCTGCGTTGCCCGGAAACCTGAGAAAATTTTGCGTTCTTTATATCCCTACAAGACGCGATTGACAGAAACTCCAACACATTCACAACGAAAACTAACACATATGCAAAATTTTATATGCCAGTTGGGCTCTGTAGGAAATGACTGTCATTTGATCGATCAAGTGAGTGTCAATGCTGATAGAACTAACGGTAGTTGGTTGCCATAGTAACCACAAGTTCAGTAGGGCTGCATTTTGTGCTCAACAAAAGTAGTTGTACCTGCCAAATAATGTCGAGTACTGAAGTACTTGGATATAATTTTGAACTTAATTAGTTTAATTTTAATTTTATCATTATTCGACCCTGCTCATAGCAAAAGTAAGTAAAAATAAAAGTTTTCATTGTGGTATGACATTCTTTTTATATATAAACGTAATAAATAAAACCGTATTATAATGTACTTGGTACTGAAGAAGTTCAAATGCGCACATCAACAGAAAAAAGAAAGACGCAAAACGAAAAGATGCTCAAAACTTAAAGTTAGAGCTGCCAAACTATCGATAGTCAAGTCCATCGATGTTTTACGATAGTCTTAAGGGTGACTATCGATACTATCGATAGTATCGACCCAATTCATATGTTTTTCTAAATCCATTTATTTTTCATTATCTTGGTTTTGTTTATTTTAGCGGCTCACGGTTGCATTTTAGTATCGAGAAATATTGCCATAAATTCATTCGTCGTGTAAACAGTCAAAAAGCGATTTCAGAAATTTTCCCTTCAATTCGCCTTTTGGAATAAGAAAAGGTCTTTTGAAAGTCACTTTACATTCAAGGTGCCAATTTGATAGTCTTTTGAAATGTACTGCTTTGCCAGGTCTGACATGCTCATAAGACGGCAATGAAACCTCTGCTATTTCCATGCTTAAAAAAATGGCGCTTGCCATGAACCCACTAAACAGATCATCCAGCACGGCAACCGTGTAATTGTATTTAAGAAAAAAATAATAATAGTTGATAACGGCATTTTTTAATCGGTTGTATCATGCACACACATGGTTTCATTCCGTTTCATTCACATGGCGGCGAAAAAATGAGGTCACTGGAAAAAAAATTAGTTTTTCTCGCACACCGTCCTGGGTGATCTTTATTCGTTCGTTCATGAAATAATGCTGCCAAGTTTTGTTCACTTTGAACCAATACGTGAAAATGTCAAAAGCGCTAGGAAAGAGAAGACGTATCAATGAAACGATAGTGGCGATAGTGCTAAAACTATCGATAGTTATTTCAGGTGATCAGACTATCGATACTATCGATAGTATCGTCGATAGTTTGACAGCTCTACTTAAAGTGCTGTAGAAAAATAAAGATAGGTTTTATAAAATATTTCATTTAAAATGAATAAAACAGCTTTTAATACCGCCATGAGCAAGTAAAACGGATTTACGAATCCAATATTAAAAAATTGCATCGCATCGCCAGTTCTCTACCATTGCAGTCCTATTGCGATGTGGATTTAATAGAAACAAAATTAAAAGATCCAGAGTATGCACAAGCCATGATAATGAATTATATTATGGAATACATATTTCACGTTCTAATTGCTGTACATAAATTTTTCAAAGGTCAATTACTTATATCAAAAATAAAAGGTGTGTCTGAGGACGTAGCCAGCGGCATTAAACATTCATTTTCGGGCGAGGCATTGCTGCAGCTTAACAGTGACGGCAGATGGAGGAGAAAACTGCCAAACAAACTTATACTCGTTGACACAATCCTAAGAGGTAATATGTGCACATATTAGGGACACAACAAGTTCTGACCATTTATTTTTTCGTAATTTATTTATAACTATATACCTATATAAAAACCTTTTTAACATACTTTGTCAAAAATTCTCAAAAATCGAGGCAAGTTCTTAAATAAATGGTCAAAACGTATAAATAAATAGTATCCCTAATAATGTGGCCACTACCGTATACATATGTACATATCTTTTAACAATACAAATTTTTTGATAATATATTTCAATCCACTGGGATGCATTTAAAAAGAAAGGTCCTGTTGAGTTCGAAAAGAAATCAGGAAGGCAATTGAGCTCAATGTTATGTATAATATGTATTAGGATATTAGATTTAAGTACGTACATATGTACGTTGATGGCAAAAATAATTATTAATGTTTAATGTACTGTGCTTAGGCTTAGCTTCTAATTTGATGTAATGTACTTAGCTTCTAATTTTTTGACGATCAATAATTAGTTCATAAGATTTTATGAAAAAAAGAAAAAACAAGTATTAAATGTGTCATTAATGATAGATTTCTATATCGTGGGAGAGAGATCAGACTAAACGAATTTTTACATCAACTGTGAGTAATCAACAATGATATGAAAACATGACAGACTTGATGTGTCATGATTGATCGGTTATTACATCAAATTTGATTGCACATTACTGACTTATATTTCTATCAAGGTTGATCACTCATAATTGTCGAAGATTTACATCACTGATGATTAAAATTTGAAGGGAGTAAGCAGTCTAGCAATATGCCAGAACGTATATGTTAGAAGGAGATGAAGCATCACACGTATACAAAAGTTTCCATCAGATTTTTCCCACTGCCCTTTAGAATTTGATAGAAACTTGTAGGTAGCCAGTGACAGAAATCTCTATCAGTCTTGCTACTCAAATGATTTGTCAAATGATAGTCACTGTTCTTGCAGGGATGAGAATGAAATAGAAAAAATGCTACTCCATCGCAAGCTCATTTATAGAACTTAATAAAACTTAATTATTCACTTGTACTGCAAGTCTTTAATTAATTTCATAAAAAAACACTTATTTCTGATACGGAAAATAATTTTATTTTTACAAGCGTAAATTAACAATCAACCATGCAAATATCACCCCGACGTTTATTTGAGGGCAGAAAAGGACGTACTTTTGCCGGATCAGAGCGCAACCTGCTGAGAAAAGAACACGACGCCCTGTGAAAGCGCTGAGAAAAGAACATGAAAATTTGGCAGCGCTAACACAAGGCAGAATAAGTGCAGCCTTTTTTCGAGAAAAAACCCCTATTGTTTTTAAAAACATCAGCAGAGCAATTAAATTTCATGTTTCTGCATGAAAAATAGAATTTGGACGGAACAAAATAAATATGTATTAAACCGGCTGATGGTCAACGGCAACGGATGGTGATGGCAAAAAAAGATGGGAGTTGGCTTCGCGCTGCAGCTAAATTGATCTATGTGGAATGTTTCGTACATTTTCATACATTTCATCTTATCTGTCAAAGCGAATATGTCACAAAAAGCGAAGAAAGCGTTTCATCTGGCATCAGCTTTAATCTATGCTGTGTATTAATAACTTCCTTACCTTTGTATGGTTTTGAATTGCACTCATAAAGTGCTTACTATAGTACAAAGTCAAGCACAAATTATAATAAAAAAAATAAAATGTATACAATAAATGTATGATGATTAATATAAAATGCACTTTAAAAAAGAAAAAGAGTCTTGGGCTGATGTATTTCCTGATTGCTTGCGATGGTCAATTTTCATTTTATGATTAACTTTGTGTAAATTGATAGTCATGAAGTTTTGCAATGTGTAAACTGTTAGTATTGATATTGTGTAATTTTTTGCGTGGTAGTTTTTTCCTTCAAGTTGTAAGCCACCACTCTTCTTCATCGTGGGATCTTCTCTTCGTTGGTCCTGTGCATTGTGGATACACGCTTGCGACAAAGACGACCTTAAACTTCCTAAACTCGATAGTATAACCTGGCCCCCGAGGTTAATAAGATACCTGACCATCTTTTAAATGTCTGATGACATTGCTAATTAAAAAAATTTGCTGTGTATCGCTGTATCGATTATCAGTATTTCACTAGAACAAAATATACATTCATTTTTTATTATGGGCGTATATGCATGTAAATTCAAAACTATAAAGCCGCTTTTCTCGAGTTTTGCTTTTCGAGTTATGCCGCTATTGAAGTAAATGAGCGATACCTTTGTAAAGACTACAGAATATAATTCGGCTAAATACACATCGTCGTTTAAAGCTCAAAACTGCGTATCAACAAAATGTAAAACCGCGTATCAAGATAATGCAAAACCGCGTATGTGAGGTTGCATAAATTATTTTCTAGAGAGTAAAAACACTCGTATCTCAAAATGGTTATCTTTTTTATAAAGCAATCGCATTTCTGGCTAGGATATTTCAGGACGAATGGATTGAGCCAAGAGCTTGTGTGAGCAAATAAAATTTTTGGCAGCCAATGTCAGTTGCGCGGTTTTGCAGAATGACGATACGCGGTTTTGTACTTTAAACGACGATATGTGTGTATATACCTACACACATAAATATTATATGAATAACTTGTTATTATTATGTACTTTAAATTGTTATCACAGCCAAATGACCAAATGTGTCTGGTCGGTACGCATTTTACCCTTTCCATTTCTCCGAGCTGTGGGTGAATGTACATACATATCTATCATTTGGCGAACTAAAGAATTAACAAAAAAACAAAGCCCAATACGGCAACATCCAGTAGCTACGCTTCCATCTGTCCAGTGGATGGAGTCATCAACTGGCATACCCTTACGGTCAGTGAACAATGTCAGCGCATATGCGATCGTATTAATTCGATTCACGGCTATTATCGCTATTTGCTGTCAGATTACAATCTCCGCTGCTCAGCGTATTGGTGCTTTTCTGACTTGCGTTGTTACTGTGTGTGACAGCATCGCTGCTGGCAATGCGAGCTGGACTCGGATTACTTCCGCTGCCCGTAGAGCCACTATGCACATGCGCATTGCTGTTGCTGGCGTTGCTGTGACACTGGTTACCAACATTAATATTACCAGTTGAATTCGCTGGTCCAGAAACAGGGCCATTGCCGGCTGCCGCTGTTGACGAAGTAGTCGAGACGGTTTGCTGCGTCAGTATATCCGCCGGTATTAGGCCCTCCTTCACGCGTTTTTTCTGTTTCATGCGACGATTTTGGAACCAGATCTTCACCTGAAAAGTTAAAAGCATTAAATTTTAGACCTCCGCTTCGATCGAAATGAAGCCAAAACGTGAATGGGTCTCATTCACCTGTGTCTCGTTGAGCTGCAGTGTGTTAGCGATTTCAATGCGGCGTGCGCGTGTAAGATATCGGTTAAAATGGAATTCCTTCTCCAGTTCTGTTAACTGTTTGTTCGTAAAATTGGTGCGTCCCGAATTATTAGTCGCACTTAGGCTGCAGCTACTCATGTTGGACGCACCAATACCCAGTACCGGCGTGTTGCTATTGCCCCCCGCTAAGAGAAGGCTCGCCTGAGTCTGCTGCCCTGCGGGTAAGCTGTTGCGGCAAATGTCCAGCTGATGTCCGTTCAGCTGATAATCGTGTATCGTGGCAGGTAGTTTTGGTGCTACAAAGAGATGCAAAGAAAAGAGTTTCATCAGTTTGACGTTTCAATGCTCGCTTTGTGGTTTCTGTGTGATTTTCAGTGATGATCGCAGTCAAAAATAATCAAAGGAGAAATGGTTTTCCTACATACACATACAAACAAAATGGACATTCATACATACATATGTATGTAACGATGTACACAAACAGTTTTTACGCATTTAAACAGAATTACAAGACCAGGTTTAAATATACTAAAATTGTGGTTGCGATTGTTTACGATACGTACGTTTGTTGTTACTTTGAATAAGTGTTACTTAGCTTAGAAGATACACACGAATGAATGCATACCTTAGCAAGCTGGATGACTTTGCATTTCTGTGCATAATTTGACATGTGCCCCGTAGACTTTAAGCTGCTGATGATGAAAACAATATTTTGGTTTTTCACAGAAGGATTTAATAGGATTTATTACTATGTTTGGAAATATTTTGGTACATTTGCTTTTGAGTTAAATAAGGTGAACGAAGATGTTATTCATATGCATGGATGTATGCACATATGGACATATATGTATGTAGAAGTTCATGTACCTTACCTGTTGGAAAATAGGTAAGCACCTTACGAGGTAATCTTTGAGCTTTTAGTATCAAAATTGTTATCTATTAGTAAAGCACAAAATGAGCACCTCCAATTACACTTTTCTTAAAAAAGTTGTAAACTAATGCGCCGCCGAAGATACTACCAAATGCCTACTTCGAGGTATTGCTTTACATTCTACTACTTCACTTGGTAAAGTGGTTTAGAAGTATGTCTGATAACCAGGGAACGGATTTTTACGACCCAAAAACCTATAAAAAAAGTCAAAATAAAATAGCGAAGTAGGCAGGAAATGGCACTAGAAATCGGCAAAAAAAGGCACTAAAATAAGACAAAAATCGAAAAATAATCAAAAACTACATTATTTTAGTTTTGTTTATTTTACACTTAAATGAGAAAAACTATGAACTAGTTTTATTATAAGAAAAATTTTTCTTTGAATTTTTGACGTAGAATACGTCTTAAGCTGAAATTAGTCAAGAACGCAGAACGTATACTTAAACGCAGTCTGTATACGCAGAATTTTGTCGATTACTGGAGCCCTCAGTGTTGCTTACTATAGTGTTGCCACTCATCAATGCCTTTTCATAAACTTACCTTTTCAACTACAATTTTTCGTGCTATAATAAATTGTAGCTAAATATAAACTACATAGTTTTCAACAAAAAACCTTATTAAATAGTAAATTTCAAATATTTTAAATATATTTTGAATAGGAACTTATAATTTTTATACCATCTGCAAAACTGACGAAGTGGCAACCATCTAAAGAAGGAAGAAATCAGCTGACACGGAAAAATCTAAATTCCGCAGATTTCTGCGCTACGGGCTACAACTACAAAAAAATTCTTCGGTGTTGAGTTTTCATTTACTTGTCGCTTTAGTAAGACAGATCGTGTCAGCTGACTCGGGTTTACGTACCGGTAGGTTTACGTTCTTGACTAATTTCAGCTTTACCTTTCGATATGGAGGCTATGCTCAAATGTTGTAGTTGTAGTTTTTAGAGTTTCACGAAAACGCTCATTGCACGAGAGCTAGTGAAGCGATTGCAAAGAAAGGTGTGGCGTTTAAAATACAAAATTCCAAACCTATCGACAGATACATTCCTGTAAGTTATCAATTCGGTGTCTGCTGTAGAAACAACGGTAAATATTGGCTTATTTCGGGGTAATTTTGAGCCTTTAAATTGCCCTAGCAACTTATGATTTGCAGATATAACTTTCATTTTCGGAATATAGGTTCTTTGGAGCAGTGGAAATATCGTCTACATATTTTATATAAATTCAATAAATATCGAGCATTTTAAGGCAAAAAATTTTTGAAAATAAGCGAATTTTTTTATTTCCTCGAAAACCGCTCGAAAGATTTTGGTTTTGTTTTCCTTAATCAAAAATTCAAGTTTTTTCCTTTCGTTTGGTATATGGGAAGTATTAGTTGATATCTTCTAAGCATGTTTATTTTATTCAAATATATGGGTATAAATGACTTTCCATACAAAATCACTTCGTCATAATTTTGCAAACACGTGCTTGCGCTGGAAGTAAGAAAAGGAGACAAAAAGTATGTGTGCGTAGGTATTTCGGATTTTGAGTAACAGATGGCACAATTGATTGGATTTGTTTTTCTTTTAGTACTTTATGTATGTATACACATTAGGGTGGTCCAAAAATACATGTAAAAAAAGTAAAATCTAATTTTTATACTCTCACCCCCTAAGATTGTTCTATATAGAATAAAAGGATGCCTATATTTTTTTATTTTGAAATCAAAAAATATTTAGAGGTCGCTCAAAGCGCTCAAAGTTTTCATGTATTTTGTATGGGAAAAAAGAACTTTTCTTGGAAATGGTATGGAATTCTTGAAAATCAATATTTATCGATCAGAAGACCCTGACCGCTGAAAACTTTGAGCAGTTTGAGCGACCTTTAAATATTTTTTGAATTCAAAACCAACAAATAGGGGTATTTTTTCGATATAGAACAATCCTAGGGGGTGAGAGCATTAAAATTCCGACTTTACTTATTTTGGACCACCCTAATGCACATGCACATGTACATACATACATATGTGCATATGAATGCTTAATACGCGAAAACTTTTTCGTCACATCAGATCTGTACCGATCCTTCGATTTTACAAAATGAAGTATCAAATTAAAGGGCTTGGCCTGTGGATGGGCAATAACTTTTTATTTTTTTCAAAAAGAGTTGCCACCTGACAAAAAAATTAAATTCAAATTATTTTTAAGTTAAATCAATTATTTTACTATGAGTATCAATCGAAATGGTTTTGAAAATGCTTGATTTCTTAATTGTATGTAGGAGAGTTGCCACCTGTTCCAAAAAGCAAGTTCGGCTTAAATAAAGGCAGAAAATTTATGTATTTTGGAACTGAAGATGGCACAACCGCGAAACCAGTTTTTCTCCAAACCAAATTTGACAAGGGATGACGAAGATTCGTGCAAAAATACATCATACACACACCCTGTCGGAAACAACAACATCCAATAAATAATATAAAAAAAACTTTTTAATATACAACGCTTTTATAAATGGACTAAAAAGTAGAAAATAATATTTCTCAGTCCCATAGAATTTGTTTTGATAACTTTTGATTTTGAAATTTTAGCAAAAGTCATTATAAACAATCTATGAAATTGAAAATGAAAAACGTGGAGCGCATGCAATACAAAGCATTCGATTTAATTGACAATAGTCAAACTACATAACGTAGACCTAAAATTTCTACAGCGAAAGTAGAACTTTGTAATCGATTTTAAGCGGTCGTTATTCATATATCCACATACATACATACATATATTACTTTTCATATCAATTCAAGTGTATTACATGCGCCCCACGCTTTTCATTTTCAATTTCATAGATTGTTTATAATGACTTTTGCTAAAATTTCAAAATCAAAAGTTATCAAAACAAATTATATGGGACTGGGAAATATTATTTTCTACTTTTTAGTCCATTTATAAAAGCGTTGTATATTAAAAAGTTTTTTTTATATGATTTATTTTCTACTTTTTAGCCCTGTCTGAATAAAATTTTGCAATAGATATTAAAATAATTCAACGATATTAATAGAAAGGTGCACACACATGCATTTACATATGTATGTACATACAAACGAGCACCAATTAATTTTATTTAAAGAAATGGCATGTCGTCTATTTCCGCTGTAGCAAACGTAGTACATAGGGCGACATCTAGATGTCATCTACCTCGCCCTTTTCACTACAGATGTCGCCCTATGCACTATGCGGAACTTTTCAAAGCAAAGGTTTTATGGTGTCGGACACACAACATTGAAAGTTTCTGGATCCACAACATTGAAAGTTTCTGGACACACAACATTGCAAGTTGATAAAAGCGTTGTAATAAAAAAAGAAAATTGAAATGTATATCCTGATATGGACGTCAGACGAAAGAGGTTGTGGTTTGAAAATATTTTGCAGAGGGTTGCCACCTTGTTACAAAGTTGGATTCAATATAAGCAATAGGTTAAATAAATTACTTCAATATGAATAGAAATCAAAATTTCTTTGAATAAACTTTATTTCCAAACTGCATGTAGGAGTCTTGGCACCTGATTTTATAATTAAATTCAAGTTTAATTAAGAGTATTAGATAAAGTATTAGATAATCTAAATATGTATCACAATACTAGTGTCAGACGAAAAAGGTTTATTGAGGTTTTGGTTTAAAAATAATTTGAACAGGATTGCCATCTGTTTGAAAAGCCGAGTTAAATTAAATTTTATGAAATATTGGCGTCAAACAGAGGAGTATTAAGAAAAATTTAGTTTCAGCATTTTTAAACATTAAAGAGGGTTTCCACCGGTGTAAAAAATTAAACTCAAATTATTTAATAGTATGTCAAATGAATTATTAAAGTATGGGTATAAATTGACTTGGGTTAAAAATGTTTTTTTCTTAACTTTATTTAAGAGGGTCTCCATATGTTTTAGAAATTAAATTCAACGGGAAGTAGATATACAATTTAAATATGTATCGTATATGTGTGTCAGTCGAAAAAGGTTTAACAAGGTTTTGGTTTTAAAATATTTTGAATAGGGTTACCACCTGTTTTAAAATTAGAATTTAATTAAAGTATGCATAAATTAAATGAAATATTAAAACCTGACGTGAAACGAAGGTGGTAAGATATCCTTAGTTTGAATATTAATAATATTAAATAGGGTTGCCACCTGTTTAAAAAGGTAAACTCAAATTATTTAATAAGTTAAAGCAATTATTAAAAATATGGGTATCAAATGAAATGTGTTTAACAAGGCTTTATTTCTGAACTGTATTTAGGGGCGTTGTCTTGTATTTAAAAAATAAAGTTTAACTTAATTCATCGGGCACATGATGCGAAGACAAAGATAATGCAAAGACGACCACGAACATG